TAACTGTAGTTTGATATATATTTCAGAAAATCTATTTTTGTCTGACTGTGGAGTTTATATAAAAAGATAAAGATAAAACTACATCTATCACAGGTATGGGAAAAAAAGAACAGCTGGTTTAATTGTGTTTTATAAGCAAGAGAAACTGTTGTGAAACAGATACAGGGATGTGTTTTCTAATGCTGCTGACTTCTTTGTGTCATAGGAAACCTTGTAATTTGCACCTATAAAGTGCTTACCTTTGCTGTTTCAACACCTCCACACTTCACCACAGTGTGTCTGTAGGTGTTTGCTTAGATTTTCATTTTCTGCAGACATGCTGCAAAGAAACATATTGTGAGAAAACAGGCTAACCCTGTAAGGGTTCTAATATACAGTCTATGTGTTATTTGAAGTCATATAGAGCTGTACATATCATCACTGGATAGTTAAAATAACAAAAAATACTCATATGTTTCAGTAATGATTCATATTTATGTGTCCTCCTCCTCACACTTGTCAGGGTAATCCTGGACCTCCTGGTCCTGCTGGTCCTTCCGGTAAAGATGGACCCAAAGGCGTGAGGGGAGATGGTGGACCTCCAGGCAGACAGGGTGATGCTGGGCTTCGTGGTCCCGCTGGAACTCCCGGAGAGAAGGGAGACGCTGGAGAGGATGGTCCACCTGTGAGTTTCTCATTCTACAATCAGATTCCATCATAAAACACTCAAGACACTGGCTGGCATCACCTGCAACTCCTTTTTACTTTGTAATACTTGAAACCTCTTCAGTGCACCATATTTAGGCGGTCGTTAGAGCTACTCTGGGGAGTAGAAAATGATCAGATGTGTTTGTTTTCTGCACGTCTGTCGGCGTTTGTGTGGCTCTGTCAGCCCAAAGAGCCAATTTTATCAGTAATGGAAACACCCTCCATTACTGCACAGAGCTGTCAGTGTCCATCACTGGCTGTAATAGCAGACCGAGACATCTGACAGCACAGGGTAGCACAGGCCAGTGACAGACTGATGACAGGAGCCCAGGCTTTTACTTTGCCTACCCCCAGAGCTGCCTGCACGCGCCCGTTACAAACACGTGACAAGTCAAGACAATGACATACCATACTATACATACCACAGACGATAGCTTACCCAAACATCAAGATAGCTGCTGTGCCAAGACTCCGTCCATCCTATAGATTACAGATTTTCAGCCTTGAACCATGTATCAGCACATCAAAGTCTTTGTCAGCTGAACTGGGTGCTCAGTTGTCACTTGGAGTGAGTTGTTTATAGTGGACATGTTTTCAGGGAGAGGACATGTGAAAGAGTGAGCTGTGGCGATGAGGAGAGGTGATGGAGAGACTGACACTGAAAAGTGCAACTGCAGCTGGGAATAAAATCCCATGTGTAGCAAATGACAGAAGAGATAAATCATAGGACACAAACACATCTTTGCTTTGCATTGTATTTGAACTGTATTGAGCGTTTGTCAGTAAACAAAAGTGATGCCTCAAAAAGTCATCACACATCACAAAACCTGCAAGAAATAGCGCCCTGCATAACCTCCGGGCTTTTTTCTTTTTTTTGCATGTCTGTATGTGTTAAATGAACTGTGCACATCACCTGCCACTTAATTAGGAACAACTTGCTGCTGCTAGGTTAGACCCCCCCCCCTCCCTTTTGTTTACAAAAAGCCCAAATCAAAGCTGCTCTATTGTGGATGCCATCAGAGAATATGAATTTATTCTCATGTTCAAGACACCAGTTTGAGCTTTGTGACATGTTTCATCATCCTTCTGTTCACTGTGGTCATAAAGGGCCATAAAGACATGGTCAGCAACAATACACATGCAGGCTGTGGCATTTAAACAATGCTCAACTTTATGCATGCATGTTTTTTTATCCTGAACCTAGTTCTGAAGACACTCATTAGATAATGTCTTTCCAGCTTTCCGCTGACCAGTTAGGTGAGCCTGTGTGAATCGCAGCTTCAGTTTCCTGTTCTTAGCTGATGGGAACGGCACCCAGCGTGGTCTTCTGTTTCTCCATCAGCAGGCCTGAAATATACAAGGGTTATTACCCCTACTGCGCATTCAAGAGGAAAAGAGTTAAATCCCTTTCTTCCCATTCTGACTCTCAGTTTGAACTTCAGCAGATCTTCTTTACAATGTCTGCCTGCCTAAAGCCACTGATTTGCTGCACATAATTGGATGATTAGATTTGCGCTAACAATCAGTGGAACAGGCGTGCCTTATAAAGTGGCTGGTGATTGATGGATCACTTTGAGTGTTTTATTAGCTGTTATCCACGAAAGGCTTCTCACTGTAACTTCACATTAAAAGGATAGAAATTAGAGCCCCATCAGTCCTCTTACTTAACTATCAATCATATATTTTTCTTTCTCTTAACAATTCTTTGAAGACACCGTCCCTTTCTGTGTGACATCCTGTTATACCGGTGGCTAAAATTATTTAGTCCTAAACGCAGATATATTAGAGTCTATGGGACACCCAGAATGAAAGGTGCTTGAACCTATTTATATTATATTACATTGTTTAGTTTGTAATTTTATATCCATGTATTCACTCGTTTTAGTATTTGTGCACTTTCTAGTTTGGGTGATTTTTTTTATTGATTAGGTTTAGATTTTCAGATTTGTTTTAACTAGAAGTTAAATTTATAAACTGTAAAATCTCTTGATTTTTCTCAGCTGATTTTCTTGGTTGTTGATACCTATATGATCAAAATTGTTTGTTGATAGTTGTTAAATGAATCCATAACCACCCAAAATAATAATAATAATAGTAAAATCTATATAACCACCGCTCTGCCACTTTTCTCCTCTCAGGGCCCGCCTGGTCCTTCAGGTCCTCAGGGATTGGCTGGTCAGCGCGGTATTGTTGGTCTCCCTGGACAGCGTGGCGAGAGAGGTTTCCCCGGTCTGCCTGGACCTTCTGTAAGTAATATACCCACTCACCCACTCATAAAATTCAACTTGCAAATTGTCTGTCAGTTATTTAGTTTAATAAAACGACACATTATTTAGTCTATGTCAGAATAAATCCTAAAATATGATCCTCATAATTTCCAAGAGTAAACATTACAAATTTAAAATGTTTGTTATCTATTTTGTAGAAATGTTATGTAGACATTTAATTCACAGTAATAGAGCTGAAATAAATTACAATATAAGCTCATGTATTAGTCATGAGACATAAGCAAAATCATTTGTGATATAATATTTTGATATATAATGTAATACAATTAATTTCCATGCTTCAGATAACTAGAGAACAAAGGTGTTTTCTTACCCGTTGATTTTTTTTTATTGATTTTCTCCTTTTTTTGGATTTGACATTTGACATTAATTGATGATCAAGAAAACAACTTAAGAAAAAAATCAGTGTTGAAAATAGTTGGTGATGTAATTATGTAATCGTTTTTGGTGTTTTTTAAACTCTAATCCAGTAAAGTTGGAGCTCATAGATTTGAAGTGTTTTCTTATTTGGATTTCTTCACTTGTGTGTCTGTAGTTACTCAGATTGAGGTGTTTCCATATCTTTGCTGGAAGCAACTTAATATCTGTCAATTTAAAAACAAAAATGTAAACAAATGTAACTACAAATCTCTACTTTCCATTCTGTTTTTGTGCATTGCATTCATACCTGCAAAAGGTTTCAAAATCCTTGCACTGCAGTTAACATTTCGCACAGCCTCCCAACTTTTTCAGAAACAGGGTGGTAAAATAAATATTCAGGAAGACGCCTTAAAGCAGAGTGCCTACTGTTTTGTCACTTAGTACGAGTGAATGTGCAAAGCCTTCAGACAGGCTCCACTGTCATTCTGCTGCCCTAATTGGGTCACAGTCAAATCGAATCTCACATGAGCTAGGGCTGCTCTCCATGTGAGTCTATCTGATGCACAAGATGACATGTGACAAGAAGCCTCCCCTTCTTGCGTCTCACACTATTAGATACGTGACATGAGCTTGTCCCCTACTTACAACATCTCAGTGGGCATGTCTCACCATCAATTATTCATCCGTACGCATGAAAGGGATGCCAAGGAAACAGCAGTGATGCCAGGAAAGTCACCCAGGAATGTTTCAAGCAGAGAAAATGATTTTAGTAGCGGAAGTGAAGTCGAACTGTGGATTCAGTTACTTTTTTTTTTTTTAAACTGAGGATAATATTTATGAATGATTTATAAAATTTGATATGTACTGTAGGAATATGCACAAGCATACTATGTACAAAAATGTACCCTTTTATCCCAGTTATATATAATGACCATCTTGACAGGTTTTTAAGGTGGCCTATGAGGACCTTTATAAGCTCAGTTAATCCTCTCTGATCATTCACAAGCTGTGATTGGTCGACAAAAAGGACAATGACTACAGACCAGAATCATACTCAAATTAAATATGACATTATTTCTATATCCACAAGACCCCAGAATTGTTTCTTGTTTTCCTAATTTTACAGCAGAAGCTAAGCTTTTAACATAAAATGACAGCATTCATCAAACATGTTATATTCTATGTAGCGGACTAATCCGACTAAATAAATAATAATAACGGTAACAACTGAATGAAGTCAGTTAAAAGTCTTTTCTCTCATTTCTCCTCAGGGTGAGCCTGGAAAGCAAGGAGCTTCTGGTGGTCCTGGAGACCGTGGACCCCCTGGACCTGTTGGACCACCTGGACTGACTGGACCTGCTGGAGAGCCTGGCAGAGAGGTCAGGGAATAGCTAGCATGCAGCATGTGTGAATTAGATTCATATCTGCAACATTAGGGCTCTCAGCTGTTTTCCTCCGACAGGTGAAGTCCGTTACTATGCACCGCCGTTGTGTCATGTTTACATTTGCATTGTGTTTACACCACATTAATATTGCGCCTCATTGGAGCAGGTTTATTATGCAGCTGATCTGTATTCAGTTAAGGGGACATCTGGTTTGGTGGAAACTATTAACATTTGATTTGGTTCCATTATCTGACAGGGCACCCCTGGATCTGATGGACCTCCCGGTAGAGATGGTTCTCCTGGAAATAAGGTGAGAAGCAAGTCTGGGTCTTATCATCCAATTTTTAATACCCTTATTGATATTTTGAAACGTTCAAATCAGTATTGCACGATAGTGGCATAAGACTGCACAACAGCAGCAGCGTGAAGCAAAGCAAAACTGCAGCCGGAAGCCTGATGAGATGCTTTTATAGATTCAGCCTCCTGTAATATACAATCACATGCAATAGTGTTTAAAACACAATCATATTCACTCAGTTTTTTCTTCGTCTGCTGCTGGACTTCTGTATTTTGAGCAGCTTTATTCTGAGTGCACAGTTTTATAAAAATGTATTTATATAGTATATGTGCATTAAATTTTATTTTTACCATCTGGTTCTAACATCTTTTATCAAACCTTGTGCTTAAGTAGATAGCAGTAATTGAGTTATGTTACGTTACATGTAAATCCCTGACTGTTGTGCTCTCACTCTGCAGGGTGAGCGTGGTAACACTGGTCCTGCTGGTGCTCCTGGTGCTCCGGGCGCTCCTGGTGCTTCTGGCCCAGTTGGTCCCACTGGCAAACAGGGAGACAGAGGAGAGCCTGTGAGTATTACCTCCAAGACAAGCTAAATTAAAATAAGATGTTTCTAGAAAAGCTGCAGCTGAAGAGCAAAGTTTGTTTGGCTTATGAGATTTATATAAGGTGGATTTTTCTCTGCTGGAAATTAGCATATTGTCTGATAGCGAGTGCTGAGGAGTATGTCTCAAGTGTTTTATCCCTGAGTGACCTGTGGTCTAAGAGGAAAATTAAACTCTGTGCTTGCTTTTCTCATTTACATAACATTCAGTCAGTGTACTATGTTAACAATTGTAGACTATTTTATCACAGTTTGCTTCCTAAACGCAGACATATTTGACTGGTATACAAGCATATTGTTGAACAAGGAGGTACACAGCTGGTACACAATGACAAGTACAGAGTGAAGACAAATTGCTAAATCTTGAAAATGAAACTTACTGTAATTATTAATGAAATTTCTACTAGCAGATTATTAAAAGTTAGAATAATCGTCATTGTGTTCGTATGGTCCATAATTCCTTTTGTTTCTTTTGTGTTTCAGGGTCCACAAGGACCTGCTGGATCTTCAGGACCTGCTGGTGCCCGAGGAATGCCTGTATGTTTCTTTCTGAGAGAAACAAAGCTGCATGCCAAGTCTTGAATAATTTCTGGCCTGAATAAACAAAAGAAAATTGGTTTTGCCACAAGGCTTAAATTAACTCTTGAAATTCACACACATATTACCACGCTTTGTTCTCAGGGGCCCCAAGGACCCCGTGGTGACAAAGGCGAGGCAGGAGAAGCTGGTGAAAGAGGACAGAAGGGACACCGAGGCTTCACTGGTCTGCAGGGTCTCCCCGGACCTCCAGTAAGCATCACTCTCTGCCTGTAAACATACGTCTGCCTCCTGAACTTTGTTGTACACCAGCTCAGTCATTTCAACTAATCCGTGCCTTTGCTGTAGTGCAGTTTTCTTGTCATCATGCTTCAGGTATTTACTGTATTTCTTCTACTTTAGGGTCAACCTGGAGACCAGGGTGCTACTGGACCTGCTGGACCTGCAGGACAACGTGTGAGTACAAATACTCAACTGTAATAAAAAGTGGCAGTCACTTTGAAAAACCATTAGCTTCTTTAAATGCTTCATCTTCAGACCTTAACATCTCAAACTGTCTCTGCAGGGACCACCTGGACCCGTTGGCCCTGCTGGAAAAGACGGTTCAAATGGTCTGCCTGGACCCATTGGACCCCCTGGACCCCGTGGTCGCAGTGGAGAGACCGGTCCTGCTGTGAGTGCTTTTTTGTGCTCATTCAATTCATGCTCCTCTTTTTTTTTTTTTATTTAATTTGTTCCGTCACATATTTATAATAGTTTTTTTTATTACTTTTTGCTACATTCTGCAAAAAACAGGTTTGTGTTAAATACATGAGAATACCAAAGTTGTTTTCAAGAATTGAAAAAACAAGAATGGGACAAGATTGGAAACTGTGCACGACTGTCACGACCTCATGACATCATGAGTGCGAGATCTGAGGGGTTTAGTTGTGTGACGTGAGTTGAACATTTGCGCAAATAATTCGTAGAACATTATTCGCTGGTTTACATCACAGTCAGTCATGACACGATCCTTCCTCTCTGTCCCTGTCGCAAAAGAAAAAACACTATTAGTCGGGGGGGGGGGGGGGGTCAAATTTAAATCAAAACCATTATATAAATTAACACGTTTTATTGATTGGTACAAAGAGTAGCAGCAAAATATTATAAAAAGCCAGAAACATAATGTCCACATGGGACAAAATTAAGTGGATATAAATGAAATAAGTTTTTTTAATGTTTGTTTTTTATTATTATACCAGATTATAGCAAATTTGTTGTCCTTATTAAAGATAATGGTCGAAGACGTAAAGTCAGTCTGTAAGGAGGGCACACTTATGGTGTAGGAGCTGCAGAAACTGTGTCTGCATTTCATAATTTCATATTGAAGCAGGAATTGTAGGTGCACTGCAAAAAGAAATGGACAAATTAAGTGGCAATTAATGGACTGAAAAACAGGAAGGAAAAATTTAGCAAAGGTCAAATTAAATGTGAGTATCAGTGGAAATGAATGACTCGCTTACTACGTGGATGCTGAAAGTGGGAGTGAAGTCTCAGACAAGTTAATAGAAATGAGATACAAGAACAGATTGTAGAGGATTTCCTGAACCCATCAGGAAGAGAGGCTTGACGGGTTTGACAGAAAAGGGCAAAATAATGCAGAAGTGCAATGATTGCAAGACTCAACAAAAAAAGAAGAAGTATATAACCCTCCCGTCTTTATTCTTTTCTCTCAGGGTCCTCCTGGAAACCCCGGACCCCCTGGTCCTCCTGGTCCCCCGGGCCCTGGCATCGATATGTCTGCCTTCGCTGGTCTGGGTCAGACTGAGAAAGGCCCCGATCCTCTCAGGTACATGAGAGCCGACCAGGCTTCTGGAAATCTCCGACAGCATGATGCTGAGGTCGACGCCACTCTCAAATCTCTCAACAACCAGATTGAGAACATCCGCAGCCCTGAGGGATCCAAGAAAAACCCTGCTCGCACCTGCAGAGACCTGAAACTGTGCCACCCTGACTGGAAGAGTGGTGAGTGACACCGAGGGGAATTGGTTAAATTTGGGGTGAGATGAGAAAGCAGACAGGAATTTTTTGCCATCTCAATTTAGTAAAGTCAAGGTTTGTATTAGCCAAGGTTCTGCAGTTGGGGAGTGTTTGGATTGAGCTGATTTAGTCTGTTTTTTCAATATTAGAAAAACAAAACATTATACAATAAATTTCCAAGTATTATCAGATTTTTAATTTACCAAAGACCGAGAATGGTGCGCTCCCATGTTCCTGTCTTTTTCCATCTGCAGGAGAGTACTGGATTGATCCCAATCAAGGCTGCACCGTAGATGCTATTAAGGTCTTCTGCAACATGGAGACAGGGGAGTCCTGCGTCCACCCCAAGCCTTCCAGCATCCCTCGCAAGAACTGGTGGACCAGCAAGAGCAAGGACCGCAAACATGTCTGGTTCGGAGAAAGCATGAATGGAGGATTCCATGTAAGTTGCATCAACATTTTTAAATTCTCTGTGCCTGTGAAACGGGAAGCGGATTCACTGCTATGCACATGTTAAACTATTTTAAAAAGTCAATGATATGAAAACAGTGGAGGCAGGTCGGCAGTTCAGCATAAATATTGATCATTGGTTGACACGTCTATGGATTCTGCTGCACGATGAGCAGTGCCTTTTCCATCGTTTTCTCTTAAGTCTATACTAGTCTTACTTAAAGCGAAGTTAAAAAGCATCTTGGTCTCAAGTAGAAACCTTATAAATAAAGTTTAGCAGAAGAATAAAAAGCACATTTTGGCTGAGCGAGGACATAAAATATATATCTCATGCACATATCTTTCTTTCTACATAGCACTTTAATTCTTATTGTTTGCACTGAAGCACCGCAGCAATTTCCTAATGTTGTAAACCTCAACATCTGGCAATAAACCCATTCTGATTCTGATTCTGATTCTGAAAATCAATGACTCCCTCTTAAAGCCCCTGTATGTAAGGTTTTTAAAATCTGAAACATCATCTCAACAACCAGGAAAAAAACACACATGCGTATAAACTGAACCATAAAAACAATTGCAACTGTTATTCTAACTTTCCCTTCCTTCAATTCCTATGCAATGCAGTTTAACTATGGCGATGACAGCCTGGCGCCCAACACTGCCGCCATTCAGATGACGTTCCTGAGACTGCTGTCCACTGAGGCTTCTCAAAACATCACCTACCACTGTAAGAACAGCGTGGCCTACATGGACGGCTCGACAGGCAACCTGAAGAAGGCCGTGCTGCTGCAGGGCTCCAATGACGTGGAGATCAGAGCCGAGGGCAACAGCCGCTTCACTTACGCTGTGTTGGAAGATGGCTGCACGGTAAGACCGGCAATATTGCTGACATCCATATACATTACACCCACACTGTCAGAGAATCGTAAAAACGTAATGAGGGATGTTAAAAGTGGCTGAGAGAACAATAAAGCTCATACAAATTTCTTGCTGTGTCCACTCACGAAACTAATCTCATTCTCTCCAGTTCTGGAGTAGTTAGAGGTTGTTTAACAGCTGTTTGCACCTGTCGTTCTCGCTCTACAGAGACACACGGGAAAATGGGGCAAGACGGTGATTGAATACAGATCACAGAAGACCTCTCGTCTGCCCATCCTGGACATTGCACCCATGGATATCGGTGGAGCAGACCAGGAGTTTGGAGTCGATGTCGGGCCGGTCTGCTTCTTGTAAAGAACGAGGGATCAAATTATCGAGAAAAAAGAAGTGGAGATTTGAAAAAGAAAATAACATGAAAGAGGAGCACACCTCAGATAAAGGAGGCGAGGAAGAGAAAAAAGAAAAATCAAGACACTTTTTTTTTAAATGGGACTTTTTTTCTTAGTAGAAAGTGCTTTTCCAAGTTGAACTCCATAGGATATCTGCACTGAATGGCACCAGCACCTGTCATTTGTGATTCATCCAGCATTGCCTCCAGTCAGCTCGCCCCTGCCCACCCCAAACCACGGACTCCCTGTTTTCTCCAAAAATGCTACCTCCCCACCTGCACCCCTTCTCCCTCCCTGCCAACTAATCTTTTGCATATTCGCGAACAAGAAGGAGGAAGTATGAGGAGAGTACAGGAGCATACGTAGGAATTGGAGAGAGAACAATGTGTTGGTGTTATTTATTTATTGTTTAGGTTGAGATCCCTGGTGTGACAGGACTGAGTTTGTTGCTAAGTATTGAAAAGTGGCTTACACACAAATAATTTCCACCAACTCTCTCTCGTACTTCCTCCTCTTTTCTAACCATCCCATCGCTCCTGTACAATATCCACTAAAGAATGAAACAACAACAATCAAGCTGCAAAGAAAGTGCAGGTGTTCCTATTTCTACTGCCACAGTGTGTCAAAAGTTACTGTGTATTATAAATAAAGTCAATGGTGCTATTGTTGTAAAACAGTTTGTATTTTTTATCAGCCAGATACTCACATTTAGTGACCTGTATATATGTATATATATGTATATGTGTGTATACATATATATACAGTTTCTCAGAGAGAGCATGTCGCCCAGGATTTTGGATTTCAGGGTGATAAAAGTCCCGGCTTGCCCCCCCCTCTTTGCTTCGTGCCTTCGTACATAAACAAATATGGCCCCCTCGTAAATTTTTACAATCAAGTCATGTTCATTTCTTTAAAAATTGTTTTCTTTTTCTTTTCCTAACATTTGTTTTGGTATGTTAAAGCTACCTCACGCTAAAAAAGAAGATCTTGACAAGTTGAAACTGAGGCCTTTTCCACCTCAAATCTTTACATGTGTGTGACCAACATGTTGAAGATTTGAAAATTTGATCATTAAAGCCCAGTCTGCTGCCCCCCACCCGCCCTGACCTTCATCCCTCTCTGCTTCCTGCCTTCAGTCTCCTCACAGCACGCGCCCTCTGCTTCACACTCACGATGTAAAGCGTGTTTGACTTTGTTGCTCCGGTCCTACAGCCAGCCAGAGGGTCCATTTGTGTGAGGATGTGTATATTTTCTATTATTAATAATAATATTATTATTAATAATAATAGCATTATTATATTATTATGATCATGACTTGTTTTTGTTACGTTTTAATTAATGTAAATTGGAAATAAAAGACAAAACCAAGTCAAAGGCTGAAGTTGCGTTTTATTTATGTTCCGTTTTGTTCTCCCCGGTGATGAAATATCTCGTCCTTAAAAGAAACATTCAAACATAAATAAAAAAGACAACGTATCATATCTACCCTGCTTCTATTTTATGTTTCTGTGCCAATATCTGGATTTATTTCCAGGGAAGAGCAGTGATGGATATGGTTTAATTTTGCCTTGACTGATGATGGAACAAAACGTACCTGTGATGGTTTTCCAATCGTTTCCTTCACTTTTCATGCACAGTAAAGTAGAAATGGGAAACACTGCCAACTACGATCAGCTCATACTGCGATTTGTCTCTCTGTACTTCATTTCTATTCTTCTAATTGCATTTTTCTATCTTCAGTAGAAATAAATCAAGAAGCATTTCTATAAACAAAGTAGAGCAATGTTTGTTTTATTTGTATTTTTTTTTTCTGTTTTTCCCCCAACGTCGCTTTTCATGGCTCATTTATTATTTAATGTAATACTTTCCAATATGAGTTTACCCTTGTTTGGATATTTTTGGGTGAACAAACAGACAAGAAAACAAATCACTGGGATAGAAATACATCATCAATAATAATAATAATAAAAAAAAATCTACAGGAAAAAACATTTGATTTTTGGGGTTGTTACAATCATCACTGGAGAGACCAGGAGCATTATTAAAAAGATATGAAACTGAGCTCAGGCACATCAACACTAGATGTAGGATTTATGACAAACAGCTAACGTTCAAGAAATATTCAGAGTATGTACGGTTACACATACAGTTTATTCACAGGCAGTTTTGCTTTTTAAGTCACATAACGAGCGTCCACCGTTTTATTCTCGTCTTCTTCTTGCCTGCGGTTTACCAACAAGACTGGTTTCACACACAGATCGTAACAATATCAATAACTGACTCTAGTTCTGACAGCATGGGAACAGCGCAGACCTGAACCAGAATCTCTCTCTGAGGGTCCAAAGTAAACAAATCATACTTATCAATATAACACATTAAATGTTGACCTATTCCAGCGTGTGCCTCGGCTCTTCCCACTTTACCAACCCAGCTTTTAGATAAGATAATATTTTATTGTATATAATGACCACATAGACATTTGTACACTTTAATCGATCACATACGGATGATACATGAAAAAAGAAGCCATGCTAGCAGCTCTATGATACTGTATGGTCCCTCAGCACAGTGCTCTGAGCTAAATCCTACCAACATCCTCACAATGACAGTGCTAACATACTGGTATTAGTAGTTTACCATAACCATAACTTGGTTTTAGAATGGACCAACAGGTATTTGGTCCAAAGAGATTTTTTTTAAGTCATAATTATTACAAATTGATCTGAAGATCTGTGTGGCTCACATACCTATAAAAACATGTTATAAACTAGCTGTTCCCATTAAACCGCTCATTGCTGACTGGGTTGCATTGTTGCCCTTGTTTCCAAAGTCTTTTTGTGTGTGTGTTTGAATACAATGAGAGTGAAACCTAAAATTATGCCGTAAATAACAAGCTTACTTTTCCCCATTTATGATCCCACACTCCGGTATGGAGACACGTTTTAAAGAGGTTGACTAGCAAACTGAAAATAGGGCTTTTTACAGTCTCTAATGCAACAGTGAAGGATGACAAATCCAGATTTATTAAATCACATTGCACACCCTCTCCTCACAGAATGCTAACATATTACCACAGTAAATCTGAATTCAATTAAATCATGTGATACTGGGTGAAATGCGGATGTTTATCCAGGCAGGGTTTGCTCTGCATGCGTGCAAAAAGCTAGGCTGAGGATTCAGTGCACCTGCGGTACACCTACAGGAATAGCATTAATTGTAACACTACAATCTGTCGTGTTCTAATCAAAGCAATTTATTATCAAAGTGTTTTGCTTATTTTCACACTGCCTTTTAAAAGAAAATCGATTGGGATGGGGTTGTGGAAAAGAAAAAGAAATGCAGCCCCAAATAATCAGGACTCGAGGTTTTCTACCAGCTCCTCTCTGGATAAATATGTGTATTAATAATTGTTTTCTAAATTGATTTGGACTCTCTGTACACCAGGCGATACTGGGTATGTATACTAAACGGACACACAATAGTTCACCTCCAGCTCTAATGGATTCCTTAGAGAAAATTTAGATCAGAGGCTTTCCAGTGACACATAAACACTGGGTCAGTGCTGATATATTAAAAAAGGCTTAAATTATATCTGCGCAAAATCAATAATATCAAAGTAAAAACGGCCACAGCTATGCACAAAAATGCACGTGCACATGTACGCACACATATTAGACAAGCAATTATAAGATGACACACATTAGCGTTTGCACACTGTCCTTGACCTGATAAACACTCCAGCTGATTAGTGCCTTTCAGTAGTTTTATTAAGGGTCAGTTGGTCAACGACTCCTAATTAGAGCTTAATTTAAGATAAAACAACACAGTATGAAGCATGTTGGGAGGATAAAAGAGGGGGTGCAAGAAGATGTCTTACATGTTACACTTTCACTTTGTACTTTTAGGGATTTTTAAATTTTCTCTCAGTTGAGATGGTGGGATGAGTAAGCAAGTATTTGTTTTATCCACAATTAGCAAAAAATATGATGGGAAAGGAAATATGAAGACATTTGCAGGGTGTTCGGGAGCTGCGTTTCCTCTGTGTGTGCATCTTCCACTGCTGGTTTTCACCATAACTCCACATAGAATTTCAAAGTCAAGGTTGGTAAAAATAACATTTTCTTTTAAATTTCAGCTGAGCAGGAGTTTAGAAACCAGTACTGAGAGTATCTGTCTCAGTAGGGGTCTTGCGTGGGCTGGGTAAACTCTTCAGGTACTCCAAATGTCTGCGAGCCTCGGCTTGGTTCTGCCTCACATAGTACACTACATACACAATGACCATGAAGAACCACACAAACATGGTCACCAGCATGGCTACATCAGTGGTCTTCCTCTGCAGACTGCAGAAATTCACCCCAGAGTCCAGCAGTTTAACCAGCGGTTGGCCTGCGTGCTCGCCCAGTGACCCCGGATCCTCCCACCTGCTCCCCTCACCCACCCCCGCACAGAGCTCTCACATATTATCCCATTCACTGTCTCAGGCTCCAGGTTCAGAGTCTCCATCAGCTCCTGGAGTGTGCAGTCACAGTGCCAGGGATTGTGGTAAAGACGTGTCTTTGCACGAGTGGAACCAAACTCCTCCTTGCTGACGTGCCTCAGCTGGTTATGTGAGAGGTCCAGCAGGCGTAGCTCGGGCCCCAGATGTTGCAGGGCCCCAGAGGCAAGCGAGTCGATGCGGTTGTGGGACAGGTACAGGTCCCGCAAGCGGACCAGGTTACTGAAGGCACTCTCTGGGATGTTCCGTATGTAATTGCGCTCCAGGTGGAGGGAGACAGTTTCTGGTGGGATCCCCTCTGGGATCTCCCGCAGCCCAGCATCCGAACACAACACCGTGGCCGTGTCCCAGGCACAGTGGCAGCTGTCCGGGCACTGTGGGAACACTTGGCCCCACAGAGCCAAGAACAGGAGTGACACACGAAGCCATGAGTGAAGATCCAGTCCTTTACGTCTTCCTCCACTGAGGCTGTTACATCTCGCCTCACACCAGCCCGTGCACATGGCCTCACCATAGCCTCCTGACACACACCAGGTCCCAGTTAGCCGCACACTGTTGCGCTGGGAGAATCTGACAGATTGAGAGAAAAGAGGTCAGTTTGGAAATGAAGACTCTCTCTCTCTCTCTCTTTACTTAATCTGCAAACACATGCAATCATAACAAATGCTCACAAGGGGAGATTATGATGTTTTGGGAGGAGGGGCAGAAAAAAGGTCAGTGGCTAAAGAGACAGACAGTGAATGAGCTTAAACGCGGCTTATTCCACGAAAGCCCTCCTGTATGGAGAGGCATGTAATACAAATGGACTCAAACATGTAAGAGGACAGTTTCTATGCTAGAAAATCACCCCTTGTCATGCATATCGAAGAAAAATGTTTGTTAATAACTCTGAAATGAAACTGGACTTTCAGTGGAACCATCAGCAAGTTTTATTGCAATGATTCCCTCACGAATCACAGTTCAAGCCGTAATGACGGTTTAAGTGATTTAATAGGGTTAAAAATCCTCTCTTGTACTTCTGCATTAAAGGGACGTAAATCATTATAAAAGATCATCTTAAACCCTCCCATTCCTCTCCTGTTGTGCTCCTCCAGAATAACAAGTTTAAGATGAGAAGGAAAGCATTACATTACACCCATCAATACATGCTCATCTCATTTATCCCTGTATTTATTTCCCCATGATGCCATATCCCCTTAATCATCTTCCAAGGGCGAGGTAGAGGAGATGTGTATTGTAGGATGTAGGTTAGAAAGGGGTTGGATCGATAAGCCCAAGCATTGCCTGCTGCACTATTAACTGCATGAACATTAATCCTGCCCGAGTCCCACAGTGTCAATAAGTGACAGGGCTGGAAAAAAAAATAACCCAGCAGCAATCTGGGTGTTAGCATCTGCTCGCTTCTCCCACAGTTTAGAGGCAAAAGTTTAAAAAAAGCAACATGAGCAAAACCAACTGGGACTCTGCTTTAAATATGTTTTTTTTCCCCTTTCTTTAAAACAAATAAATAAAACCATGTGGGTCTGTAGGTGGTGTGAGGGCAGCCTGTTCTTGTTTTGCTGACACAAGCATGGCCATATGATGTTCTTGTTCCCAGACAGAAATCACAAAACACTCCTTGAATTTGATTAAAAGACTATCCTCTTAAAATGTCAAGCACCCTCCGCTTTCTCCCCATTTTCATAATAGAATAAAAACTGTCATGTGTCTCTATTGTCCTGACAGCAGGGCTGAGGGTTTCAACCCCGACTCAAGCGGCCTAGATTTGGATGATATGCCTGAAGGTGACTGGGTGACAGCCCTCTGATGTCCATCAAGCTGCCCTCTGTGCCTTATAAACTGTGCAGAGGATTTGGCTCTGCACTCAACGGTCCGTTATTAACATACTGAATGCAGATGCATGCAAATCCCCAATTAGCAAAAATAATCATCTGCTGCATTAATAAGAATGGGATTGAGAAAGACCGGGGTGGGGAGGCTCCCAAAGCAAATACAGCTGTGGTTACAGCTGGTGACTGCAGTTTCCAATTTTTTTTTTTTCTAATATCCCTTCCTAATTTTAAAAGGCCTTTAATCCGAAATAGAAAAGATATTCTCGGAATTTCCTGCACCCAACATAGTTTTTGACAAAATGAACCTGCACCGACATAATAACGATGCCGGTGAAATTTCATGCAGACTTTAGATGACATTAATCTGCGTGAAACAGGTCAACTAGTCTACCCGAAGCAAAGGGCGTCCACAAAACAGCGCTTTCCGTTTGGTGACACTAAATGTGATTTTTCTGTATCATTTTTAAACTTTTGTGCGATAAAAATGAAGTTACTTAAATTTTATGTGCAGCTTTTTTCTCCGCTTGCCTTATTAGGCTAAAGTTAATGCATTTCTTCTTCTTTTTTCTTTTCTTTTTTTTTTAAAAAAGAGAGCGAGAGAGAGAAATTCGCGAAGGATCTGAATGTTAGGGCTCGTCTTTCCAAGTGAACATAAATAAACTCACCTGTAAAACCGTTTCTGGTGAAGTTTGGATCCACGCGACGGGTGAGGATGTTTATTTAGACTCCGTTTGTAGTTTTTCTTCCCACAGACTGGATGAACATCATCATCCTCTTCTTCAGAGTTGACAAATTTCCCAAAAAGGCAGAAAAAGAAGACAGACAGAGAATCACCTGAGAGCGCGTGGCGGTCTGTCCCCTGCGGAAGGCTCCATCACTGACTGTCTCACTAGTGGAGGGTAGTTATAGCGATAAAGATGTGGGGCAAACTCTCTCCCTCCCTCTGTATCTGCTTGTGCGCGCGCGCGCTAGTATATGTGTGCGTGTGCGCGCGTGAGACGAAAACAAACGCGGGAGGTGTGCCCTCCACTCCTTCTGTCCCTCACTAGAGCTGGAATCAATCTCAGCTTTCTGAGAAGACGCTGGTTAACTTAATTAACCTATAGATATAATTAGATTCTTCCAACCATTTTTCCAGCAGAATCAGATTGAAACCCAGCCATGCGCACAGTTACACAGATTAGTAATTTATTTATTCATTTTAAGTAAGCAAAAAAAAAAAAAGAAAAAAAAAAAGAGCCTAATCATTGTTTGATATAGCATGCGAAATAATAAATAGCCTATATCACCCGCAAAGCTGAGCGGGCTATTTACAAAAGCTGTCAGGCTGGAGTCCTACCTGCAGCTGTTCACAGTTAGATAAACAGGAGTCCTGACTGATAGAGCTGAAAGGAAAACAGCATTAAAGGGAAAATGCGATTCTTCTAATCACTCCTGTTTTGTCCACGCTTAGTAGTGGAGGTCAAGTAGAAAGAGACTTCATTTGTCACAGTGTGCAGACACAGAGAGTGGATCAAGCTGAAAATGAAGACTGACTTGGACACGCAGGGAAACATAAGCATGGACCTACAAAGGAGCAGCAGAACATATGGCAGCCTTGACATTTTGAATTTCCACATAAATGACATGGAAACACCATCAGACCGGGAGACAAAACAGCAGAAAACAGAATGTATGCAGAGAGCAGGCGCACTCTCGGGATGAGTGACCTGCTCCGTCTCTGATTTTCTATTGTAAGCAGCAAGAATATCTGCCCATGTACAGCAGAGCCCTCAGGGGGGAAAGGATGGGTCTGACAGCCATGATGGCACCTCGTATCCCTCCTCTGCCTCTACAGCCCGTCCCGCTCCTGCTAAATCTATGACATTCCCACTCCTGACAAATACAGAACGCTGCAAGTATAATGCCTTTTTTTGCCCCCACATTCCAGCTGAATACTTGTGAATGTTTTGCCCTTGATGGGTGATTGTTTCCATGTTTGCCAGACATGATGCGGCAGACAGGCTGAGTTTTGTGGTTTTTCCAGATAGAAAACAAGGGACAAAGGGGTGCATAATGAGAAAGCACATGGCGGCAGATAGAAAAATCTCCTACTCAAGAAAAGAAAGAAAAAAAAGTATTGCACATTGTCTATTTTTGCTCCCTGAACTGAGAGCGAATAGCATGATTTTGGGTCCGAAGTTCAATTTGCAGGAAGAAAAATAAAAGCTGTACCACATGGTGAGAAGGCTATGGAGGGTCTATTTGTACAATATCGGATGAAGATCTTTTAAAGGATGCGCATGCCTCTGAGCAGCACGATGATGACAACACTGACAATATGAACTCCAAGGAAAACCATCACTGCAGTCAAGTGAAACAGTTTGGCATCATCTGTTTCCTCGGGTGTTGTCCTCAGAGGGGAAAACTGAGCAAACCATACAAATTTGTAAATACAAAGAGGCAGTGGAAAAGATCTGCCAGCCAGAAACAAAAATCTAGTTCTTTCTGTGCACACGGTCCGTGTTTTTGTCCTTTATCTGTGTTGTGAAAAGAAAGGGCAAAAAAATAAAACCCACAAAACTCATGTGGCTATACCTCTCCATTAGGTATAGAGAGGGAGAGGAGGGGGAGCGAGAGAAAAGAAAAAGCAGTGGAGCATTTCTTGTAACTAGCCTGTCATTCTCTCGGGATTAAATCCACTAACAACAGGTCAGGGTGGGGGCAGGTGTTCTGCTGAGGCTCTCAGTAGCCATTTTTCCACAGCGTGGCCAAGTGGGACTCGGTAGTGCTGGAGTCGTCTTAAAAATGCTTACGACCGAGGACTAACACAAAGATCTGGTTTGCTGCTGTGTTGTTAAAAACTACAACACAGACGGAAAATCATCTCTGCTGACAAAACAAAGTATTAAAAAATGTTGCTTTGTAGGGGCTTTGGGTGACAGCAAAAGACTTGCAGCCCGTTTGTTCTGTAGCAGCAAAACCAGCGCATGGGCTAAAATGCAAAGCAGAGCTTTTGAGGACACTAAACATTTAGAATATAGTCACAGAGCACCCTGTGATTTCCTGTGCACAGCAAGCAGGCAAGTGCACTTGACCATGAATAAGCCTGAAACTGTGCATGTGAGGGTAAAGTGGAGACTGGGAAGCTCAAATCGATGCATATTAGGCTACACATCAGTTCTTTCCTCCTTTCAATCTGATGCTTCTCTCAGAGAGTCTCCAATTCTGCCACTGTGATGAATGCACCTTTGCTGTGTCCTGCTCCTTTGAGTGAAGCAAGCTGTGAAAAGGGGTTATCTTCTACATCTCCCAAAACAATACAGCATCAGTTGGCAGGGATTACAACACCATGTGACTATAAAAGGCTGTGACAAATGTGTATGGATTGGATTGAGACCTTGGCTCGGGACCAGCACAATAGAGAGCAGAGTAATAACACTAAAACGTGTATCTGCGTGCTTCTGAGACAAAGGTAGCGTGCAAAAGAAGTTGCAAGAGGAAGCGCACATTTCCAAAGCCATTATATATTGTTAGTGCACTCTCAGCCAAATGGTAAACAATAATTCAGCAGCTGAAAGTTGAGAGCAGATATAGATTAGACAATACACCATGAGCTTTATTGCTATGAGCACATGCTGTCTGTGGGAGCTTGTTTTCTTGACATTAGATGGGGGAGGTCTAACGTTTGCCACAAAAAAAAGTAAAAGCAAGAGCGTGTTAGGAGAAAATTAACTGGATTTAAGAATAAATAGTCTGAATGCAACGAAAGGCAAATGAGGAGAAAGACATGAAGCCGAGCAACATTTACAGCTGTAACGTGTCCATTTTATTTTGCACCGCAGTGGCATTTGCACAATGACACCAGCGCTGATGGAAATAAAATGCACAGCAATAAAACCAGAGCGGTGCGTTATGTAGACGAAGAGCAGCGGAAGGTCAGACCCGTGGAGAATGTAATAAGAAGTAACAGGTAGCAAAAGGGGGAGGAAATCTGGTGTAATGATGAGAAAATTCAAGCCACATCTACCGACTTTATTACATTGACTGCATGACTCGTCCCAGTCCCGGTAACCCCGTCACGAGGCTTCCTGCCACGCGGAGCACGTCTTTGTGGCGTTTGGTAATTTAATTTATCCAAATTAATCAGGCCTTATTACTGACGCTTTGATCTCGGAGCCAAAGGAAGTGGCCTCTGTATCTCTTTGTAGTGCTACGGTTAATGTCAGCACGCTGGAAATGAAAGGTGCAACCGTAGTCCAGGTGTCTCTATAAATCAGCGACTGAAAGGTAAGGCCGTGGTATCTCAGGCTTTGAAGATGCTGGTGTTGTTCGGTCAGATGGCAGCATATTATGGGGCGCGAGCGACAGCCAAGAGACTGGGAAAACAGCAGGTTTATTGCCAGATTCAAGCCAATGCTCAATTATTTACCAAAGACCAAAAATATGTCAAATCAGTCTTTTATTTCAAAAGAACTCCAGAACAGACATTTATAAGAACAGGCAGAGAGAAGAAGGATATTATGAGTCAGCACGATGACCCAGAGCCCAGAGTCTGCGTTGGTATATCACTAAACAACATGGTAATTAAGTCAGCTGTTTCCGTTCGCCGGGGACTGGGCGGCGGCCTGCAGGGTCCTGCGGGCCATCTCCATCGCTCCTTCCTGGGTCTTGTTCCCGCCAATAAAGCCTCCGGCGTGGACAAAGATGCAGCCCTTGATCCCGCTGAGCTCCGACAGCGCTTCATCCCGAACACCACGCCACTCTTCTGGCAGCGACAGCCTGGGACAGGAGCACAGAAGGGCAGGTTGGTTTACAGATGGACACTCTGTGGTCTGCTGATCACTTCATGTTGCGCATTAGTTTTGCAAAAACAAAATGTACTGTACATTATGAAAAACAGCAAACTCTGGAGTTTAGGGTAAAAAAACCCAAAACAGAGTGATTAACAAAGTCATTTTACAGACAAAAACAAAATATATTTGCACTTCTTAAACTTTTCAAATTCTCCGTGGCTCATATGGTACTAAAGTGAAAATCTGCTTCACAAAACAAGAAATATGAACGTGAACTTGAGCTTTAACAAAGTCCTAAATATAAACTGACTGAAAGCATGAAGACAATACTAGAATATTAATCGGCAAAAGCTCAGAAAAATGCATTTTTATATGTATATTAGTTGGTTGTAACTCATTTCTTTCATAATTTCTGAATGTTTTTGCACAAACGCTTGGATTACTCTCATCCTTTCAGCTTTCATGCCTGCAGGGGTAGTGGTGCTATGTGCAGCCACTCTTGCACATAGCACCACTATAATGGGCACCGACAAATAGACCAATACAATAAAAAACAAAAAAAACACAATCAGCTTTATTCTCCTCCAGCAATGTGGAAAATCACACCTCAGTGCAGCAACTGGAGAGCCCTATGGTAGCGGAGTGGAGTCAAAAGGCAATCTCGCAAAGTGGGGGAAAGATTGGCTCTGCGATGGTTTACGAGCCGACCTGGAAAACTTGTCTCTGGATGGAGCACGCAGAGAAAATTCATAAAAATGTAGAACAGCTCATTTACCACCTACTGCAGGTAGCATACATCTTTCTACAGCCTTGCCAATCACACCTTACCTGTTATCTAGCGCGTGCGTTTATATCACTCTTTCCTTGACGGGGTTATTATCTCCATTATCTCAGACCCCTGTTCTCCTCAGAGGACTTTTATATTTAGCAATGTTTCATTCCGATTTAGGCCTGATTAAGCACTTCATTGTTCACCTTTCACCCACCGCCTGCTTCTGGAATAGACTTTAAATGCTTTTTAAAACGCCGAAATTCCCTAAAAGCGTCGGATGTCATACAAACCTTTGGCTCGTCTTTCTCTTTATCGCAAACTTGATGAATTATGGAACAGCACGGTCGAATTTGTCAGAAATAAAGTGACACGGTTGTCAAACGGTGCATCAGTTTGAAGCGAGCAAAGTGTTTTCTCTTGTTCTCTTTACTTTGAGCATTAACTGCCATTTTTCTATAACATCCATAATGATGAGAATGATTTGCATGTCGACTCCATTATGTCAAATCTTTTATCCCTAATAAGACTGCCATAGGACTACCTGGAGAGGCAAGCATGGCAAACCTATAATCCCCATTAAAGAATCAACCAATCGATAGCTGCACAGTGCGGCTGGAAAATGAGCTCTGAGGAAAGGTCAACAGGGCTGGTGATGAGGGAAGGAGTAGGAGGGGGCGGCTGATGTTGTTACAATAGGCCAGGAAGCTTTCGCTTGCGAGATGACCGGTCTAAAAATAAATCCACAATTAACAAATTAGCGTCTCATGAGAGAAGACCCCTAAGACCTCAACTGAGACAGATAGTGGCAATTAGTGGGTCATTACAAAAATGTTACTTTAGAGTCGGAGACACATCCTCGAGACTTCATTACTGCATGTTTTCAGCGATATGAACGAAAGCGTGAACCTTCTGGTTCCTCACTGAGAACAGAACAAAAGGCACTTTTGTAGAAGCTGAAGTGCTGCATTTTTCTGCACCTTTACTCATCAATAACATGCACCAAATTCTGACCACAGATCTTCCACATTACACACATTTTTCCCTTCCACAATGTAAAATTTCTCTGCTTTTGAAGACAAATTAAATGGAATTATTCCCATTTTTTCTCCGAGGCATTTTCTCATATGATCCACTGTCATTTTATACCTGACATCGCTGCTTTATCTCGGAATTACAGACATGATTACAGATGACCAGCTCAATTTAATTATTTTTCAAGCAAAAATGTCATACAGTCTGGGTTTTGTTTTTTTGTTTGTCTTGCCCTTTGCTCATATGTTCAGATTTCAGACAAACTAAAGAGATCACCAGGAGACGGGTGATTGTGAAGGACATCAGTCATTATTTTCTGGCGCTTTATCGACTAAACTATCGACCAAAATAACAATCAGATGAAGTAGAAAGGATAAAGACATCGAGTCACAACCATCAGGTTCACCTCCAATACCGCGATACAGCAGGTAAATGTGGCAGCTGCCAGTGTGTATTTCCTGAAATAGAGGTATATGTTTCTGGCTCAGCTCATTCTGCTGTCAACCTACAGTATCATCCTATACAGCACATTTCCAAGCAAGGGCTGCTTTCACTCCCCTCTTCGTTCTCCCAGCTCACATTTACTTTGCACTACGATGCTGATAAAAATAGACCCTTTCCCCCCAGGTGCAGTAGCAGGGACACAGGCGATAACAACACCCCTTCTGCAGAGTCGGCACAAGCCCGCTGGGAGAAAGCAGGCCACCCATAGAAAGAGCCATCTGGAGCTACGTTTTTATCCATCACACAAGCTATTGTTCCCATGTAGCGCCACACCAACCAGCATATTTGCATTAAATTAAATCTTTGAAGTGCTCCGCGACTACAAACAGGTGTCTTTTCTTTTTAGTCTTTGAAAGCGCGGCCGGCTGATGAGATTCTGGAGCAAAGTGGAAAAAAGTCTAACTGAGGGACCAGGCGAGGGAGGGGCGGAAGGTGTGAAAGGTGAGACAGCGAGATAGGGCGGAGGAGGGGGAGATAGAAGAGGACGTGGAGGCGGAGGTGGAGGAGGGGAAAAAAGGGATTAATGGGAAAAGAGCAAGACAAATGGGGGGGGGTGACAAAATGGAGGAGTGTGATTATAGGACTGAGACAGAAATACTCTGCACAAAAAGAGCAAGAAGCACAAAAAACCCACTAATGGGATAATCAAAAGAAAAGAGGAGGAAAGGGGTGAGAGCAGCCACTGGTCAGGCCAGGAGTGAATCAGAAAGCTATTCCAGCGTCTTCCTGTCTCTGTAGGAATGATGTGTTCAGAAGGTCTCCCACTATTCTCAAGCAGTCAACGTGAAGGACCAGAAAGATCATGTGACTGGTACGATTTCTGCTTTTTCCTTGTTTTTGATACTATTTATAAGCGCAATTTATTTAGCAACAACCATTTAGTGTATTTATGTTGTTCCTCTCTTTAATGTAGCTCTCACTGTCAGAGGCACATTTCTAATTTTATCTCATTACATCAATATCAGCATCAATTTACTATTCACTCTCAAATGCAGTATCACAGATGCATATTAAGTTGCTGCTAGAGGAGCAGCGATCAATCATCCAGGGACCAGAATCAGTCGATTTCCACTGTGTTTAGTCAAGACTGGTGACAGCTGGTCATCCGATTATGATCTGTGGCGTTTCATGCATGTGCACAAGCACACGTAAAGCCAATCTCTAACATTAGTGTGGAAACACTTTACTATGAGTAACGACTGAAAAACTGGCCAAATTAAACCACAGGGAGACCAGCATGAAAATGTTTGTACCAACAAACCCAGTCAGACACTTAAACCATCTTCACCCAGCAAAACACGGACATTATAAAGAAGCTAACAAAGGAAAAGTGGCTAAAGCTATCCAGAGCTCCAAACCAGCCGCTTCAGTGTGAGCCTCGGTATAAGCAAAGGATCAAAGTGGGTAAAAGCAGGGTTAATATCCTCCAATCTAGAGACGTTATAAACATACTAGAAAATGTATTCACTCACTTGCCTTCATAGACATGATCTTGAACAACATCCTATTCCTAATTCTCAGGGTTTAATATGACGTTCCCATCTGGCTCGCTGAGGTCAGGACTCTGTGCAGGCCAGTCGAGTTCTTCCACACCAAACTCGTTCAGCCATGTCTTTATGGACCTTGTGTGCAGTCATGTTGTTGCTGAAGCAGGGAGAGTTTCTTTTATTGGAATTAAGGGGCAAGCCCAACTCCTGAAAAACAACCCCACACCATAATCCCACTCCACCACAACTCTACACTTGGCACAATGCAGTCAGATAAGTAATCCTGGCAACCGCCAATCCTGATTCATCGCGCCAGAGGAAAATGTCTCTAGTGATCTACAGTTTGTGCTTTTTTTTAAGGGAGCGAAATCCTGTAATTTACTACAGTTAATAACTTCTTTAATTAATAAATTAATATTCTGCATAGAAGAAAAGTTTATTTTTGTTTGTCACTTAAAGTATTTAGAAAGAAAACTGGAATCAGACAAAAACTATCAGCATCTCACACTTAGAAGGAAAGAAAGAGTCTTAATCTAGACAACAATCCCCAATTCTTCTTCAGTTCTCCACAAGCAATCCCCTCAAAACTCACACATAGCTTTTAGTCGTTGTCACAAAGGTCAGAGCTCAATTTATAACACAGTTTAAACATTTTGTAGCAGATATAACTCGATCTGACGTCTAAGAGGATTTACCAATTTTAGAGGATTAAAAAACAGATTGTGTTCACTTTGCACAAATTTCCTAACTCATTAGACGGTGTGTTCGATTAGTAAAACTTCTGTAACCACAAAATGCTTTCAGTAATGGAAGTGGTCTAGCTTTCCTGCTGAGTTTGTTGTCTGGATAAAATTGTATCTGACGTAGAAGAAACCGCCACCCAAAATCATCCGACGCGTTAAATGAAAAAAAGAAAAAAAATATTGAGCATGGCGCTAATTCAGACAGACGGTGAAGTCAAGCTCGGCTATAATACTGGCGGACCAGCTGAACACAACGCCAACTCACATCAGCCGATACACTTCTATACGTCCAACTGGCAAAGTTCTCCCACACCTCACACAGAGTGTGCAAATCGAGCTGCCTGCTCTGCTCTGCGACTGATTCTTGCAGCTTAAGATGAATAATTCTCATAACAGGTAAACAGAAATCTCACCTGTCCTTCCTTTCCCCTCGACTCATCCACTTGTGCCATAAACACTTGTAGTTTATTATTTATTCAGAATTTTTTCCTTGCATTTACTTTTATTCGCGTTAAGTTTATAAAGCTTTTTTATTTCATTTAAACAGGGCTTTTTACTTGTTCTTCCATTGAAAAAAGTTTAAGAGTCAATTACAATAATTCAGCTGAGGTCAAAGAAGTCACCTGGATGAGTGACGAAACATTTCTCCCACTGAAAACGCTACGTCCAGATGAACAGGGATGAGTTATGTGTATATATAATTTGTCCTGTGTGTCTTTTGCCCCGTCTTCCTCCCCTCAACCCCAACCAGTCGTGGCTGATGGCTGCCCCTCCCTGAACCTGCTTCTGCTGAAGGGTTCTTCCTGTTAAAAGGGCGTTTTTTTTCTTCCTACTGTCACCAAGTACCTGCTCATAACAGGTTATATTATTGTTTTCTCTCTAATATTGTACCTAACAACATAAAGCCCATTGAGGTGACTGTTGTTGTGGTTTATATTCATAAAACTGAATGTAAAATTTAATTTTAATTTAATTGAATACAGCAGTGTTACAGGTGACCCTTCTTCACTCGCACACATGCACAGATACACAAACCTGCTGCAGAGAGCACATCAACCAAAGAATAAATAAACTTCTAATTAATTAACTACAGTTGATATAATCTTGTAAAATACTCTGACAACACGGTTTGCATATTGCTCTGTCACCAGACAAATACAAGCTGTAACAAGATGCGAGTCTAACAAACAGACTGGGAAACAAGATCAAAGATAAACCCACATGCTAGAATCTATCCCCGAGGCAAAACTGCTCATCTTCACAGCTTTGTAAAGCGCAAATCGCTTCCAATACTCTTCCACCTAAGTCACTGCTTCTTAAGTGCACATGCTGACCACTTAGGGCTACCACTTTAAAAGCGCAGATCAATATCCAGCAGCTCATGTCAAGTAAACGAAACAGGGAAGGAACATCAATGCTGGAAAGATTTTCTGCACCAGGAGATTTTTTTGTCGCTAATGTCTCTGTTAGTACCTGGAAACAGGTTTTTGTGATTATGAACACATTTAACACGACTCTGGGAAACATGGACTCTGCAACCGTACGGCACCAAGCAGCTATAGAGACGAATATCTGGATAACGTCCAGGATCAGCCTAGTGTTTGCCATACTTTGGTGATTATGTGTGCTACATTCTGGGATTTAGGGCACAACACACCCACTACAGGACTCCAGTGGGCCCGCTAGTGACATTATTAGAACAGCATTGTAGGTCGGTCTGCGAGAAGCTCTTTGGGTAAACACTTTCCCCTCCAGAGATAAGAAGCACAGACGATAGGTGCTAATCATCTTTAAAAATTCACACAGGGGGTGTGGTGTTGTCATCACTGTCATTAGTGAGGGACCTGACAGGAACTCTAACATGGTTTAATAAGCCTAGCACTCTCATTTAAGTGCTAGGTTTGAGGATTCGGGTCATCTTTATTGCTAAAGTATGTCGAAATGCTGCTTATCACAACAGCAAAAATACCACCAGCTGCCAGTGCGACCACTCAGCCTCGTAGCACCTATGATATCAACCTGAAAATCTCACGTCACTTCGTTCTCGACTTATCGTGTTCTTAAAGTTTGGCATTGACGTTGCTCACCCACCCAATTAAACTGGTGCAAAGGACAAACAGGAAAGGCATGTACATGTATGTCAGGCACAACTGACAGTGACTGAGCACATCTCTAAACTGTTGAGTGGCCTAAATGGTATTCATATTACAAAAGCATAGAAGCAGAAAATCAAAGGGGCTTTGTTGCTCGACAGAGCATCTCACTTTGATTCATGCTCACAAAAAAAATCTTGAAATCAAAGCATCTCTCCTACCAGTCAAACTGGCATGTGCTTTTATATCTTTCAGTCTGCTGTATTGAAGCACTGGGTATAATTAAGAGCAGAAAAACACACAAGAAGCACCTGAGTGGGAGGGCTGTGCAGGTGGCTGTGCTGAGTTGTGTTTATATTTTTTTAAGTTCCTGGGAACAAAATCTTCGGCTTAAATAAAGTATCTTCCTCATTCTATAAACAACCATTTCTATCCTTGTAGGAGTCCGTCTCTCACCGGATAACACGTCAACCTCCGTGAGCGGCTGTCACACGGTCCAGTAAGCATGAAAGTTAAATCATAGACCATTGTTTGTCTCTGTCACCGGAGCTCAACGCAACACGTTGAAAACTCTGAAGCTGTCATTGTGTTAAAAAAAAATCCAGTGTGGAAAAATTTATTGTGCGTGACTCAGTTTCACAAAACCCCTGCGAGTTATGCATGCTCGACTTCTGCTGAAGGAACTCATGCAAGAGGTCTCCTCCACGCATGCGACTGAATGCTACAGCTAAAGCTGAAAAAAAGGTCCTCAAATGGTTTTCAATAACATTTTACTAAAAGATAACCTTAAAATTTACCTGTTCTGGAAAGTGTTGAGCCCAGCAGGGACACACTGGACCCTCCACTGTCCATTCTGGTCTGGGTAAAGGACAAACTTAATGGGCGTCTCCACGTGGAGCTCCTTCTCTAAGGCAAACAAATGCTCCTTCCAAGGACATCCACCCTGGGAAAAAAGGAGTACCTCTCCACTGGGATCTATCTGGAAACAAGAATAGAACAGGTGTAACACATGTGACTAATGTGCAAAAATCAAGGACAGACACAAAAGCCTGTGTCTGTGGAAAGCTTCACTGTATAAGAAAAGCAGCAGCATTTTAAACTCATTTTCACCGTAACTTGTGCTTCTTTTATAAGTGATAAATGTCTCCTTCAACTAAACAACAACAGTCCTGATACTCTCATCATTTTTGATAATATTTACAGTTTTCAAAACAAGACAGAAAATGCTCAGAATCAGAATTTAATAAAAAGCAATTAAAGAAATTAAATTAGATCTAAGGAGCACAAAACAAACTTTATTCACAGATTTTTATTAAAAATACTCAAACATGAAATTCTGCAGTGAGTTTCTCATTATGGGCTAACAGATCAGGTGTCCTACATCTGCTTTTTTCTTTTTTGTCTGGTCTGTGTTTAGATATTTTTTGCTGTTTAGCTTCATTTGTTTCCATATCAACCTCAAAGTCATATTTATTTACTTTATTTAAACCACAGTCGGTGTCTCAGGGAAAACACCGACTGTTCGGCCAGCGGCTTAAACAAAAACAAAAAACATCATCACTCACAGCCAATTCAGCCAAGTATGAAATGGCTGGGATAAAAATTAGAACCTCAAAGTTCGAGGCCACGGTTCTCACCCTAGCCTAGCCTATGGTTACGAGCTCTGGGTGGTGACTGAAAAAAGATGAGATTGTGAATATAAGCAGTGGAAATGAGCTTTCTCCATATGGTGGTGGGCTCAGCCTTAGAGACAGGGTGATTTTGGTCATTAGGGTGGCAAGTAGAGCTGCTACTCCACATTAAAGGATGCCTCCTGAATGTCTCCCAGGTGAGGTGTTCCAGGAAAGTCCGTAGGAGGCCCCAGGGCAGACCAGGGAGAGATTACATCTCTCGGATGGCTTTTTAACACCTCAGTGTCCCCCTGGAAGAGCAGGAGGTGGAAGGGGAGAGGGACATCTGGGCATCTCTGCAAAGGCTACTCCCTCCGTGAACCAGATAACCATGAGAGTAATAAGAGGCCCACTGCTGCTGGTGCAAACAAATAAAGAAACAAACAGAATGAAACAGAATGGGCAGCTTCGTACCTGATGCCTCTTCTTAACAGCTTCCTCCACGACCTCACGAGCTGGCAGCAGGAGGACTTGTAGAAATCCAGACGGTCCAGGAACTCCTCCCCAACCATCTTCAGTGCCTTCTTGAAACCCTCCTAAGGATAAAATAGAGATTAAAATATGTGAGAATAAAGACATGTTGGATTTTTTGACAGCTGGCTAGACTTAAACACTGATGTCACTTTAACAGAGAAAGAACTCTGTAGACTCAGCTGAACGCAGTATTCTTTTGATCATTTAGCTTCTTTCATCACTACTACAGCATCAGTTTGACATCAGCTACTTTACGTGAGACCGTGTACCAGACAAAACGGGCGTGATTAAGTCTTGTCTTACTACCTCCCTGCTGATCC